TCTTCCCCAATTCCAAACCACCTTACTGCATTTCCTCACGAGTCACCAGCTAAATCCTTTTACCACCTTCCCTTGCCACTCCCCCTTTGTATATTCTCCTTCATTTTTCCTTTCTACTATCATTCCACCATCACCAATATTGTCTTTGTTATCTTAGTCGGCAAAGTACTCATTAAATAAATGACAGTCAAATTACAAAAAATTCAGAAGAGTTGACTGATACAAATCTGAAAAATTCTAACATTTTAAAAAGTAGAAAAATTCAAAGAGTTAAATCTGTAGGAGGGAATTTAATCTAAAAGACTAAAAATCAGATTGGTAAAATATCTGGTGAACCTCCATTTTTTCCGGCAAGACTACTTTGAATCTAAAATTATTTTCTTTGATATTGTCAAAAAATTCAAGCCCTAAAAAAGTCACAATATAAAAAATATTAACAAATCTTAATTGATGTTTGAGGAAGACAATGAAATTGGAGAAATGACAGCTATGGTGTTGATGGAAATCACCAAATCGGAAAAGAAGGGAGAGGGTAGGTAGGAGCTATGGTGTTGATGACAGAAATATAAAGTGAAGATACTTCTCGTGATCACCATGTGGTGGACGCACTGTGGTGGCCGGTTGGCGGACTGGTTCCTACCGGAATTGTTTTGGGTGGGTGGGTGGATTGTGTAGGGTTCATTTTTGCTTTTCTATTGCTTTTTTTATTTTAAAATATTTTCTTATAATATATTTTTTTATAATTTTTTGAACCCAAATGACATATGTCACAATTTAATTTGTCGTTGTGCCATGTCATCGTGAGTGTATTTTACACACTTTAAATTTTTGTTTGATTGTCAAAAAAATGTCAAAGAGGAATCAATTCGAAGTGGTAGAGGTGGTCAATAGGTACAAGCCTTAGCTAAGGTGTTCAAGTAAATTATGCGGACAACTTTAAGTGGCCGTCGATGACTTAAGCCTTTATATTATATCTTGTGTGGTTTCTCATTGTACATGGTGAGATGCATTTTTGGAATACACTGGGTATGTTGTTGTTTTTGATGAGTATACTTGAAATGGCTTATATTTTTGTGGTAGTTTATCTGCCGTTCTTCTACTAGTTATTGGAACATGTTTAATCATGTCATATTCTCGATTTCCCTCAAGGTTGAAGAGATGGCCAGGAAATTGGATAGTCTTCTAGAAGGTATAGAAGGTGAAGGTGGGCTAAGAGATGCTTCCATCTGTGCTCACAGGAGTTCAGTTTTGGAATTGGAGGAAGGTATAGAGTGTTTCAGAGAAATGCAGGATATGGAGAGTAAGCTTTCATATTCATTCTCTACCTCATCTGATATCTGGTATGATGCCATGTTTCTTAATGGCACTCCTTCCTATTCTCCCTGGCATGCTGGTTTTTCCTGTAATTCTCTTTTACTATTTTTTCATGAGTACTTGTGGGAGGTTTATTCACTGAGCATGTAGCTTTTTTGCTAATCTTGCTATTAGTTGCATACATCTCAAAAATCAAGTACTTCATCCAATAAACTATAATCATGAAAGTCCTAAACTGGCTTGAACCTGGAACTCTGGCTTAAGATCAGTAGAAGACACTGCTACTGCTGCTTTGTAGTAGTTATGGTCTTGCTTGCTTGTAATGTCTATCTTATAGAATTTGTCAGCTGGAGTATACATATATATGGACATGGCTAATCTTTTTATAGTTGTGTAGAGCAGTTCAGTATTATTACATTAGCTGTGAAGGTCCCAAACTTGCTGAGCTGCAATAGTAGAGGAGATGATGGGGGAAGTCTTTCCCATGGTTTACTTTATTTTGTAAACAAATCTAATGCATATTTGGTTGTGATGACGACTCTTCTTAGACCATTAATTTTGCCTTGTTAAGAATGTCTTACCATTGCAGGATCTTGGACAAATGTGACATCTTCCAAATAAAATAAAAGATTACTAAGATATGATGTATCCCTTTCAGAAAAAACAGGGGGTTACTAAGATTTGATGCTAGTGAAAATTGCGGCAAAACAAGACAACCAAAGCTGCAGCAGAAGTGAACTGGCAAACATAGGCCACCAACCATAGAAATACAATGCTTTTCTCTAAATCTCTTCAAACTTTCATCACATGAATTCACTGCTACGGCACTGTTCTACGGGCAAGAAAGATTAACAAAATAATTGTGAGGAATTCCTCTTTTAAGCAAACCACCCAGTGTCATTGAGCCAGGTTGGATCTTTAATTAAATAACCTGTAAAAATCCTGGAGATCAAACCTTATCCCCATATACAACTTGAGATTTTAACAATCTATTCATGGATTGTAGGATAGGCTTCTCGCGGAAGATATACAAAAGCAGATTATAGCCTATCTAAAGTAATGATTGTCTTATTGGTCTTATAGCCTATTTGGTCTCTAATTATTTAAGTTCAGGAACAAAAAAAATGTAATATTCTATTCAAATTCCTATCTAAAGTAATTCTTTTCCTACTGGCCTTCATCCTGAAGGACGGGTATTGGAGTTTATCCATGCAATACTTTCCTCCTGAACTTCTTGGTAGCTGACTAACAGAGTTGAGCCATGAAGTCTGTCTGAGTTTAAGTCCATGATTTGCAAGAGAGTCGACAACTCTATTGCCTTTCCTGTAACAGTGAGAGCTCATACAAACAGTCAGCAAGCTTATTCCGTACCACGCGTTGTTGCGTGAGCCTATTCCGTCTAGTTTTTCGGTGACTTTCTTGTGCAACATTGACTCTTCTCTTTATTCCGAGATAATCCAATATTTTATACCAGATTTTGAGCACTTTTTGGCGACCGTGCACTATTTCGGGTAGATATGAGTTTTCCAGTAGTGTTTTTTCTCTATCTCAGATTCACTTTAAGGGTATACTTAAATATTTGGGTTGAATTATAGTGATACTTGCTCTCCCGTGGCTAAAATAGCATATATCCGCCTTTTTCTATGTGTGGCTGCCGTACACCATTGACCTCTTCAATAGTTAAACATTAAGAATGTTTTTCTCCATGGTGATCTTGAGGAAGAAGTCCATATGGAGTAACCACCTGGTTTTGTTGCTCAAGGGAGTCTGGTAGCCTTGTTTGTCGATTATGCTGGTCACTATGGTCTGTGACAGTCTTCTCAAACTTGGTTTGAAAATTTCAAGAGAGTAATTCAAGAGTTTGGTATAACTTGTAGTGGAATTGATCACTTTATGTTTTATTGACATTGTGCACCAAATATGTGTGTTATTTTGTTGATGATATTGCTATCACCAACAATCGTCAAGATGGTATCACTAATTTGAAGCAAGATCTCTTTAAGCATTTCCAGTCTTAAGACCTTGGCAGACTGGAGTATCTTCTAGGTATAAAAGTTGCTTAGTCCTGATCAAATATTATCATCTTGCAGTACAAGTATGCCTTAGACATTCTTATGGAGACAAGAATGATGGGATGTAGACCCATTAACACTCTTAGGGGTCGTTTGGTAGAGTGTATTAGCAAAAATAATGCATGCATTAGCTATATGTATTAGTAGTCCCTTGTTTGGTGCATTTTTTCATGCAATTAGTTATACACTCTATTGTGTATTGAGGAGTGTATTTCTAATACCATGGATTTCTAGGTATTAGCAATGCAAGGGATTTAATACATGCATTATCATGGTTAAAGACCCAATTACCCCTCAGAAGCACTTTTACATATTTTTCACCATAATTGTGAAAGATACTTTTGTAAATAAATATTTTATACAGTATATATTATTTTTAATATACCAAACCAAACAATGCATAAGAAATAATCTATGCAGAACTAATGCAAGTATAACTAATACAAGCAATACTAAGACACTCTATTGAGCATTATTTGTATTGAGGAGTGTATTACTAATACCATGGATTTCTAGGTATTAGCAATGCAAGGGATTTAATACATGCATTATCATGGTTAAAGACCCAATTACCCCTCAGAAGCACTTTTACATATTTTTCACCATAATTGTGAAAGATACTTTTGTAAATAAATATTTTATACAGTATATATTATTTTTAATATACCAAACCAAACAATGCATAAGAAATAATCTATGCAGAACTAATGCAAGTATAACTAATACAAGCAATACTAAGACACTCTATTGAGCATTATTTTTATACACTCTACCAAACGACTCCTTATTGATTTGAATGCTAAACTCCTGCAAGGACAGGAGGAGCCACTCAACGGTCCAAGAAGGCATAGATTGAAGAGTGGAGCGATATTAAGAATGAAGCGATGTTTTATACAAACTCTATACCTGATAACTATAGGAGATATAATAGGATAATAAAAAACAATTTAAAAGAACTAAACTAATGGAAGTGATTGAGATAAAAACTAAATCTAAAAACTACATTATCACTTTTTGCTATTGGTGTAGTTCAGAGTATATAGATGACCCTGTGGCTATTGTAGACATTCTAGGGTCCTTATAAAGATGAAGGATCTAGGGATAGTTTTCTTTTTTCTTCTTTTCTTTTCGTTATCTTTTGTTTATGCCAGACACACAAATGTGGAGGGAGGATATGATGTAAATATTTGGATACCAGCTTTGAGCTGATGATTGATATGCAAATGTTACCTTTATAAAAAAAACCAATTGAAGCTATAACATAGGAAAATATCTTCACTTGTTATTACTCCCCCGCAAGTTGGTGCTAGTATCAACGACACCCAACTTGGGACAGAGCTGCTCAAAGGAAGCACGTGGCAGAGGCTTGGTGAGTTATCGACAACTTGGTCAACAACATGTAAGTGTTTGACTTCAATCTCCTTGTTTTGCACCTGCTCTCGCACAAAATGGAAGTCTACGGCAACATGCTTCATCCGACTATGGAAAACAGGATTGACACAGATATACATAGTGCTAGCATTGTCACAAAGTACTGTAGGAGCACCATCAAGAGGAACGTGAAGCTCACAAAGGAGATTAGACAACCAGTTTGTTTCTGCTACAGCAGTAACCATACACGGTATTCTTACGTTGACAAACGGGAAACAGTTCGTTGCTTCTTAGACGAATAGGAAATAGGAGTTCCTCCTAGAAAAAAACACATAGCTTGATGTGAAGGTGCGATCATTGGGATCGCCAGCCTAGTCATAATCAGAGAAAATAAGTATTCTAGGATCCTGTTTCTTGGTAATATTGATACCAAACTGGGAAGTTTCACGAATATAGCAAAGAAGATGCTTAGCTGCTTTCCAGTGAGCTTGATTTGGTTGATGCATGAACTGGAATATCTTGGTAGCTATATCTGTGAACTAATGTACCCTTTTTCTTCCAATAAAAAATGGACATTCTAAGTAAGTAATAAGGAATTCCTGAAGCTGGAAATTTAGAAGATTAGCCACAAGAGATCAAATTTTATTAGAGAGGCCTTTATCCATCATGTAAGTTTTGGTACCAAAATTGTACACACTTATTCATCCATAAAGATACAAATTTATAATATAGAAAATAAAACTAACAATCAGATTCCTTGATTTTAGGAGTTTTGAGAATCAACGAATGATTTTATTTGATCTAATATCCTACAATTTTTAATAGCATATCAGATATGATTTTATTCGATCAATTTAAATCCTACAAAATCATTTCTGACACACTGATATTGGAAACCAAGAGAGTTAATATTGGAAAAAATTAATTCTCTTGGTTTCCTAAGTGATAGTTCTTTTGGAACATTTATTTGGGATAAATGACACTTGAATGGGATTGAGGGAGTATATGCCAGTTCTCCCAATCTCCTCTTATATCCACACTTAGAACCTTGTTTCATGAAAATTATGTTGTTGCCTGGTTGGCAAAAGTTGATGCTAGGTTGAAGGGTGCTAGTTGTCATGCTCTGTTATTGCTATCGAAAGCATGGTTACACAAAATTGTACGTCGGCAGTCTTGATATGTGCATCTTCTGAATTTGGATAAATTTCTTCAGAGATGTTTTGCTCACAGAAATCAGAACCTCTAAAGGATCTGTTAATGTACTGTTGAAAATCTCTTTAAATTAGTTGCAAAATCTGTACTGATAAGCTTGCCTTATCAACTCCCAAGGGTAATCGATCAACTAGTGGTCCTCATTTCGAACACCTATGTTTTGGTTAAACATAACTGCTATTTAAAGAGCAGCATTACAACTTGTATCAATAACCAATTTCCAAATTGAAGCGTATTGAACGTTCTTTAAGAAATTATGGTCATACAAAAATAGTTCCAGCTATAAAATAGGAAACACGTCAAGTTTTGGGAAGAAAAAGAGCACTTAGTATGGCTGCAAAAGAGTTGAATAAGTCACTAATGGATGCAGACTACTATTTTTATCTATATGTTTT